AACCTTTCTTTTTTTTAAATTCATACCTGGATAGACCATGCCACTTCCTCTGCACTTACTGAAAAATAGGTGGAATTTTAAAAAGGTCTTGAAAATATATGCAGTTTTGGTTTCCACTTTCCTAATGTGACATGATGTTTACAAATGATTCTTGAGACAAAGTTTTGCCCTTCTTGTTTTAATAGCATTTAAGAGGTATAGATCAATGTTTAAAAAAATTGGTGTCTGTGCCAGTGACTATCATTCCATGAAGGGACTCCTGACAATCTGTCCTCCACGATTGAGGTAAATGAGTAAGATGCTGCCTTTGTTCTCCCCACACTCGCTATCCTATATTCTTTTTTAAAGTTTTTTAAATATATTTTTTATTGTTGATAGTATTACTGGTATCTCCCATCCCCTCCAGCCCCTCCCCCCCTCCTCGTTATCCTATGTTTTTATTTAAGCATCTGTCCTTTTGGGCAGACATTTTGTTAGTGTTTTTTTTTTTTTTCATTTTCCTTTATTTTTGTCCAGCGTTCATGTCCTCTTCTAGGAACAGCTCACTTCTTTTTGAGGCTCCACTTCTCTCCCACCGCCTTGGGTTTCTGTGGAGTTGTTGTGGATCATCAGGTGTCATTTGATAAAATCGCCGGGAGAAGAGCCTTTTCTCAAAGGACAGCGGCCTGGAGGGGAAATTGCGCTTTCTGACACGTCCCACCTCAAGGGAGACGTGAGGGCGGCCTCGTCAGCCCAGGCTCCCTGTCCAGTGCCCTGAAGTCATGGGCGTTGACTGGCAGGCTGTCTAGGAGAGATGCTTCTGGCCTTAAGGGTTTTACCAGCACCTCTTGCCGGGCAAGCTAAGCACTGGTTACGATTATGTGTGACACACACCGAGGAGTGGCTGTGCTTTCTCTGAGCAGTGGGCACAGTGGACACCCACCGGGGACTGACCGTGGTTGGCAGTTTGGGAATGGATTTCTTCATCTCAGATGCCAGCTGGATGGGTCTCTGCTTTCCTAGATCTCTCACACCCCTCCTTTCTGCAGGTGAATGGTCTTTAGTGTCTTTTGACATCAAAATAGTTGTCCCCCCCCACTTTTTCTCTCATTTATGTAGTAAAACACACGTGGAGTTTGAAGCGTAGTGTAGTTGAACAAGGTTGTGTGTGTGTGTGTGCGCACGCACGTGTGTGTGCATGTGTGTGTGTGTGTGTGGTGTTTTTGGAATTTGAAGGGTGAAACAGGATGCTAATTATTATTATTGGTTTTATTTATCAATGTCCAGCGTAGGGTAAGATCCGGGCTGCATTTCCAGTCTGTAAAAATCACTTGATCATGAACGTTGTTCCCTTCAGGTGAGGTTTAGTGAATTGACATTGACCTCCAGACGCTTTAGCGAAAGCATTTTAAGAAAAAACCCTTGCTCCGTGTCTTTGTCATCTGCTACCGCCTGTGTCTTCTAAACAAAGCTGCTGCTTTGGGCACGAAGTTGTTTACTCAGGTATTTTGCCGTTTGCTTAGTAATTGCATCTCCCTTGACCTCTGGAAGTCAAGGGGTTGCGTGCTCCGTGTTGCGGAGGCCCGTGTCTGTGCTGGGAGGGGCAGCGCAGTGCAGCCCTCATCACAAGTAGGAGAGGGAGGGCTTTTGGGAGAGCTGCCTCCTGGGAAATGGTGTCCGGAGGGTTATCTAAGAGCTTTGAAGAACTGCTTTCTGTTTAACAGATACGGTGGGGACGACTCAGTTTTCCTTACTACGTGGTTTATCTCCTGAGCTTTTCAGAAGAGCGTGGATAATATTCTGAAGAAAATTTGCCTTTCTCATTGCAGAAGGCATAGGTATGAAGCCAAGAAGCCAATCAGGAATTTTTAGATTCCAGTAGGAAAAAATGAAAAAAAGCAGCCATTCTGGTTGGTTGAGTAGCACTAATTTTTTCATATGCAAACATTGCATTGATTAAGGTAGTTCTAGACTACAATTTTGAACTATAAAATTTAAAGTGGTTTGATTTTTTTCATTTTTATGAGACTTTGCAAATTCACTTTTGCATGGTGTTGGACATTACCTTTCCTATGAGGGAAAAATGAAATTTTCCAAAGCAGGTTTGGTTAATAGCCGCTCACTGTCATCTGAGCATTCTGACTTTATTTATTTTCTGTTGATCTAAGTTGTGTAAAGTGAAACATCTGAATGAGGTTTTTTAACACTGACCTAGCCCTAACTGGTTTGGCTCAGTGGATAGAGCATCGGCCTGCGGACTGAAGGGTCCCAGGTTCGATTCCGGTCAAGGAAATATACCTTGGGTGTGGGCACATCCCCAGTAGGGGGTGTGCAGGAGGCAGCTGATTGAGGTTTCTCTCTCTTTGATCAGTTTCTAATTCTCTATCCCTCTTCCTTCCACTCTGTAAAAAAATCAATTAAAAAAAATAAAATAAACACTGACCTAATAAGCCTTTTAGAGATTCATTGGCAGGGTCAATTTTAATTAGTAAATACTGAGGCCGCTATGAAGCAGAAACTTACATTTGAATAATGGTTTTATCCCTGGCCTCATGATAACCAGGAACTCGCGCCCACCCTCATGGGAGTCTTTGGGACATAGTTACTGAGATACAGTGCATTGACTGCAAACTCACCCAACACGGTATTGAGTTTTCCCAGCCTTATCAACGTTTCTGGGATTCTGTTGTCCCTTAGATGCAAAATCCAGAATTTAGTCCTAATTTCTTTTTCACTTTTACCCCCTGTATTCAATCTGTTGCCAAGTCTTTGGGCTCTTTTTTTTAAAAAAAAATATTCCTGATTGCTATTCCCTTTTTGTGTAACTGAAGTCCATTCTTCAGCATTCAGTGCCAGATGCCTTAACGAACCAGGTAGCTGCTAATTGGCTCCCCACCTCTGCTTTCCTCCTCCAACCATCAGCCCTACTACGTGCTCAGATCAAGTTTCCCAGGCGTAAGCTTCAGGGAGGACTCCTCTGCTCAAGACCCTGGGGTGGTCTCTGCCCGTTACTCTTGATGAGGTTCCCACTGACTGACTCCCCGTTCTGTGCCGCAGACCCTCCTCCTCCTCCTTCCTTCCCTCTCTAACCTTGCACCTCACCGCGTGCAGTCACCAGTTCGGGAGAGGTGGGCTCCAAAAGTCCTTTGGCGAGTGGGTTGTTAGGAAGTCGGAATTGCATTTTTATGCAGAAACAGTTCCTTAACCGCTGTGGCTGAGTCACGAGCTGTGTAACTCAAAGGCCCGTGGATCCCGGTGCAGCTGGTGTCTGAGCTCTGGGAGCTGGAAGCCACGTTGACTAGGGGGGCGCGGCAAGGATGGGCAGCTTTTCTCCTTCGTACTGAAGCCTGGGGTCAGCCAGCACTAGGGAGAGCTGATAGTGTGTTTCGTGTGTAAAGATGGTCTTCTTTTTATTGTTTCCTTTTTAAAAAAATTAAATTTATTGGGGTGTCTTTAGCGTTTAACTTCTGTTATCTGTTTTTCAAGTCCTAGTGTTACTCTTCCCAGACTCTAAGCCAGAGAGAGCTACTCCAAAGTAAATAAGGCATTAATTCAGTGATTATAATATCTTCCTATTAAAATAGCAGTAGTTGCTTTTAAAAAATGTTTAGAGGATTATAATAGACATACAGTATTAGTTTCAGGTGCGTAACATAGTGATTCAACATTTATATACCTTACAGAGAGATCACAAGAAGTCCAGTAACCATGTCATATGTAATTGATGATGATACTGATTCTATTCCCTATGAGCAGCGGTGGCTTATCATTGAGCACTCACTTACGATTTTTCTCTCCTCACAATGGTCTTGCATGGCACAATAATGTTACCTCCATTTAGTAGGTGAATCTATCCAGGCTGGGTGAAATGTAAATATATGAAGCGAATGACTTATAAACTCAAGACTTACGCCCTAGCCGGTTTGGTTCAGTGGATAGAGCGTCGGCCTGTGGACTGAAGGGTCTCAGGTTTGATTCCGGCCAAGGGCACATGCCCGGGTTGTGGGCTCGATCCCCAGTAGGGGGCATGCAGGAGGCAGCCAATCAATGATTCTCTCTGATCATTGATGTTTCTCTCTCTCTCTCTCCCTCTTCCTCTCTGAAATCAATAAAGAAATATATTTTTAAAAAGACTTGCAAATAACTTGTGTATGTATCTATTTCATTTGTTAGTTTATTTTGTTCATTAGGTTCCACATATAAGTAAGATGAAATAGATCCAGAGACATGGAAGCATGGAACAAACTGACGAATCTCAGAGGGAAGGCGGGCAGGGATGGGTGGGAAGACATTAACCAAAGAACTTATATGCATATATGCATAACCCCTGGACACAGGCAGTAGTGCAGTGAAGGCCTGGGGAGGGGGAATGGCGGGTGTGGGTGGTGAGGGTCATTGGGGGGAAAAAGGGGAATATCTGTAAAACTTTCATCAGTAAAGATAAATTAAATAAAGAAATAAATAACTTGTCTATATTTGTGCATGTCTTAGAAAGAGTAAGTGCCGTGTGTGTGCCGGGTGCTGTAGTTTTAACTATGACGGCCTCTGTGGTTACGGGAGGGGCTCCTGAAAAAGACTTGAGTGAGTTACATTCCCATGCGAAGGAAACCGAGCAAATGAACTTGTCCTCAGTGGTCTTTTTCACCTGTTGGCATGTGCCAGATTTGTCTGTCCTGCTATTTTGAAATGTAATAGCAGCAGCAAATACTTATGTGATGAGGGGTGAGGGGGGTGGGTGGTGGAGGAGAGGATGCCGTTTCTGCAGGAGAGAGGACACACCAGGGATGGCCGAGAAACCCCTGCTTCCTGACTTGCTGGGCGGAGCTGGGCGGAGGGAGGTCGAGGGCCTTGCCATCCTCTGGCCTCAGCGGCCTCTGACGCCATCAGCTGATGGTGGAGTCTGGGCTTAGTTCTGAAGCTGGGATTAGTGCAGGGCCAGGTGCTCACCCAAGGCTTTGTGTCAGGGAGCTTAGCCCTAAGTCCTGTGCTGCGGCCCTAACGCTGTGCTTGCCTGTCCCCAGCTGTGTAGGAAGCCACCCTCAGAGAGGCGGCCGGGATGGCCGGCTCGGCCCGGGAGCACCTGCTCTTCGTGCGGCGGCGGAACCCCCAGATGCGCTACACGCTGAGCCCCGAGAACCTGCAGAGCCTCGCCCAGGGCTCCCGGCCCGAGAACATGGCCCTGCAGCGGGCCAACAGCGACACGGACCTGGTGACCTCCGAGAGCCGCTCCAGCCTGACGGCCAGCATGTACGAGTACACACTGGGCCGCGCCCAGAACCTCATCATCTTCTGGGACATCAAGGAGGAGGTGGACCCCAGCGACTGGATCGGACTGTATCACATCGGTGAGTCACGCCGTGGGCCTGCTGCGCCCGGGCCACGCGCGTCCGTGCGACATTGTGCTTTTCTGTATTTTCTCCTGTAGACACGCTCACACGGGTCAATGAAGACAGCGGGGCCGGGGAGTCCTTTCTTCCTGGTCGGAGGAGGAGAGACAACAGTATAAGTACCTTTGCTGATAGGAAGTCTGTGGTCACATCTCTCTCCTAATTAAATTCCCAAATCTGCAGATGTTACAGTTTTTTCCCTTTTAAAACTTCTTATTACCCTTGAGGAATAGTTGCACTTTGGAAAGAGGTGGCTGTTAGCATTTATGGATATTTTTAAACGGACGGAGAAGATCATCTAGAGCAGTGGTTCTCAACCTTCCTAATGCCGCGGCCCTTTAATACAGTCCTCATGTTGTGGTGACCCCCAACCATAAAATTATTTTCGTTGCTACTTCATAACTGTAATGTTGCTACTGTTATGAATCGTCATGTAAATATCTGATATGCAGGGTATATTTTCATTGTTACAAATTGAACATAATTAAAGCATAGTGATTAGTCACAAAAACAATATGTAATTATATATGTGTTTTCCAATGGTCTTAGGCGACCCCTGTGAAAGGGTCGTTCGACCCCCAAAGGGGTTGCAACCCGCATGTTGAGAACCGCTGCTCTAGAGTTAGATAATGGATCGGAAAAACTGCTCTGTGTTTCCTGAAGGTTGAATTTCATTAAGAACAACTTGCAGTCTAAAGTATGAGCTCAGAATTCTTTGATGTGTCCCTGATCCATTAGGTGAAGAAAGTGTCATATTCTTCTAACATATGAGTTAGAAATAGGTTGCTCTTTGTTTTCATAAATGAGTCCCAGCTCTCTTAAGCTAATTTGTATTCATAGGTAGGCAAGTGATGAATAACGGTGTCCCAGAAAGTATGAAGTCTGCTTATTGGAAAGCAAAGGTCAAAACTTTCTCAGCAGCCAGTAGGAAAGCTAAATCAAGCTTGACAATGAAATCTAACATTCCCCAGCATTGGAGAACTTGTTCACTGAATGAAGGGGATTAAAAAAAAAACACTTAACATTAGTTATTTTATTAGAAAGATGACATTGCTTTCCATGTAGATTATAAACCAAGCATTTTTGGGGGGTTTGGTAATAAATAAATTAGGGGGGAAAGACTGGTTTATGGCCGTGCTTCTCAACCAGGGGCGATTCTGCTCCCAGAGGACATTTGGCGATGTCTGGACACGTTTCTGGTTGGTACAGCTGGCGGGGGAAATGGGAGACCAGGGATGCTGCTAAATCTCCCGAGACTCGGAGGACGGCCCCTCACAACCAAGCCTTACCTGCTCCCAAGTGTCCCCAGTGCCACTGTTGGGAAACCCCGTTTGAGGCAAAGTGACAGACATCCTTGTTGAAATCGTATTCGTGTTAAACCCACTGTGCTCTGTGTTTCTCCGGGACCAGGAATTTTAAATTAATTGGTTTGTATTTACTCTTGTATCTCTAAATGTTTAATCATGCTGGATAGCAGGAAATCTAAGACAACAAAAAACATCAATGACTTTTTCTTTTTTTTCTCTTATGACAACAACAGGGGAAAAGTCTTCAGCGTTCAGCATTTCCCCCAAGTGCGTTTAAATACACTTTCAAAGTGAGGCAGTTCCATGACGTAAACATGATATTTTCATTTATGGTACCTGTTAGGTTCACAAAATATTTTACTTTTTGGCAGTAACTCTTTTGGTTCTTATGTAATTTCACCCTTTTGGATTTTATAAAATTTTTTTTTTTTTTTACTTTTCTCATAATGCTTTTCCCTTCCCTCTTATTTTAGATTTTGCAATGCTTAATATGAGAATATAAATAGCAGACTGTGGTTTCTTAAATGCTTTTTATGTGATACTAGAGCCCCGGTGCATGAAATTCATGCACTCGGGCGGGGGGGCGGTGGTGGAGGGGGTCCCTCAGCCCAGCCTGTGCCCTCTCACAGTCCAGGAGCCCCGCGATGGATGGCCCCCACAGAGGGCGGCCCCGCCCACCCGCCGCAGACCGCTGGTTGGTGTCCTGGGCCTCCCTCTGCAGGGCGATCCTGGGGCAACGGCTGGGTCCCCGACCAATGGCATCGCATCCGCCTTGGCTGGCCTGGCACCAGTGGGTGTTATAGCATGGTCGTCCAGAAGGTTGTCTGGACGTTCGTTTTGCTGTTCGGTCGTTCAGTTGATTTGCATGTTACCCTGTTAGTATTATAGATTTCTTTGGGACATAATCAGTTTTATTACTTTATATGGGATGATTTTTCATGGGTGTGAATGACTTAATCTGTGAGATGCTAGAATCACTTAAGACATTGACTCCTGTTACTCCAGACTTTCTCCCCTGCCTTCCTTTTTGTTTCCCCACTCCACTTGTTATATTTCTCTATCTAGATTAATTCGAGAAGGAACTAAAGAATTCATTTTATCTCTGGGCGACAAAAGCCACAAAATATTTGTGTTCTTATGTATACTTTTCTAGAGGCAGAAATAGAGTCCGAGTTTTAAATCTGGAATTAATCTAAGGATTGAGCTCAGAAAGTAGAATTGGGACATAAATCTCCTTTTTTTAAAAAAAAAATATGCTTTTACAAAAAAATATGTTTTTATTGACTTTAGAGAGAGAGGAAGGGAGAGTGACAGAGAGATAGAAACACTGATGAGAGAGAATCATTTATCTGCTGCCTCCTGCATGCCCCCAATTGGGGATCGAGCCCGAAACCCAGGCATGTGTCCTGACTGGGAATCAAACCAGCAACCTTTTGGTGCACAGGACGATGCCCAACAGACTGAGCCATGCCAGCCGGGGCAGGATGTAATATCTTAAGTTGTATCCATGTGGCAACCATAAGGCATCAATCAAGAGGAATACAAGCTAAGGATGACATAACAGAACATTAGAAAGAGCTTGGGCTGGTGCTCCAAAGTTCTTGCTATATGCGCGAAAGTCTTCCCCTCTTTGTTTAAGTGCTAATTCGTGAGGCTTTCTCATCCCAGCAGTTATTCCTACCTGAGCTGCTGGGGTGGCTGTACAGAAAGACGAGAAAGGGCAAAGGAGATATGCCAGTTGCTTTTCAAAAGGCAGGGTGAGGGGTGAGCGGGCTACCTTGGTAGTTACTGCTTCAGGGAGAGCGCGTGGGGAAGCTTGGATAGAAGTGAAAACCGCTAAGTTGTTTTGGAAAAGGCAAAGCAAAAACTGCTTTGCAAACAGTAACTCCAAGTCGTGGGGAAACTTTGAAAAGCTGAGTAGGACTAATCGGAAGGAGGGTCTTTCAAAGGAGTCATTGGTAACTTGAAAACCTGCGCGTTTTCTTGGGCATTATGAAATGAGGACAGGTGAGGTGCTGCTACATTTGGAGAAGACCTGAAAGAAGAGGAAAAACACAAGGCCGGGAGGCGGAAAAGAGTTTTGGGGTCCAGTTACCAGTATGTCAGATTTACGAGTGTCAGGGCAGAACAGCTCTCGAGCGCTCTGTGAAATAGATGTGCTGAGTGTAGGTTTCATAACAGCAGCACGGCCGTCAGGAATAGCTTCAGATTTCTATACCTCGTGGTGGGAAGCAGCCGCTCCCCTTAGGTTGTGCCCTGAGAATCTGGGCTGTCTCCTAGCAACGCGTAGCTTTATTTGTGGAACAGAGAGTGGTCTCTATAGAAAGCAGTCCCCAAGGGGAAGGGCTGGGTCGAGCATCGTGCTGGCGAGGTGTCGCTTGTTGGCACGCTCTGCATTTTGATTGTGTTTCTCTTGGCTTAGTGTTTCTGCCTCTGCAGTCTGAGTTTTTTATTTATTTTTTATTGTTGATGCTATTACAGATGTCCCCCACCCTCCTCCCTCTGAGTTTTGGTTTTGTTTGGCGAATTGTTATAGTCTACCCTATATAACTCACTCCAGCTGACTTTCAGCACTACGAATCTGGAGGGAAAAATAGATCCTCCTGGATCAGACACATCCATCTTCCTCTAGCCGTTTCAGGCAGTACATAGGTCCTGCTGGGAATACAAAGGAAAGCAGTTGAAAGTATCAAGACACCATCTGGGGAAACTTTGGGTGTAAACATGGCTCTGGAAGCGGATGCTAATTACCGTTTCTCACAGAGACCCCGAGGCTTGCAGTGTAGCCATATGATAGCCCTGGAGCTCCACACTGTAGCAGCTCATGCCCTGGATGTGGTTTTTGGAAATCACTAGCTTTGTGGTTTATCGTTGGTCTTCCACATGAGGCTTGACCCCTCACATTGGACAGTGCTACTCATCGCCGCCTCCTCAGCTCGCTAAGTAACAAGAGCCAAACACTTCGCTAAGGTGCCCAGCTCAATCGCTTTCCCTGGAAAGTCAGTCGGACACCCTTCAAGCAGAAGGCGGAGCATATGACATCGATTCGGGCTCACACCCTGATTCTTCTGAATGCTGGGTCGTGGGCTGGTTTTTCTGACCACTCAGAAGGAAAACACTTCTAAAGGCTTCAGTTGCCATTTCTCATCTGCAGGTGACTTCAAGCACGTGAACAGAGCGGGGAGGACGCACACTGTGACAATTAGAAGTATAACCTGTGCTGTGCACCTGCGCTACTCAGAGTGCTGGTCTACCGTCAGTTTGTCACTAGATAAGAAGCTTTCTCCAGAATGTGGGTCAGTGTAACTGCTTCGCTTAGTTAGAAAACCTTGCTATTAAAAATGGTCTACACTAAACAATGGGCTTGATGTGGGTATTTCATATTCTGGCGCAGCTTCTTATGTTGTCAGGGGCCCAGTCACATGCAGTTGACCAGCATTTGCCTGGACCACACATCTCAGTGCCCACACGTCCATGATATCTTCAAAGATGAGTGGCAGAACAACTGCCTTTTGACTCTGCCTTAAAAAATAGCATGGCTGGTGATAGCCTATGACATCGTTCATATGTCTTTGCATTTGGATAGTAAAATAAGGTAAGGTCACAATGGTTAGCCAAGGCATTAAGATCCTATATTTTATTTATTTACTT